AGAATGCTTTTCTATATAGATTACTTTACAAATATACCTAATTTTTAATATACAGGGAAGAAAATGGATTGATAAAAGTTATATAATATCCAAAACCATGCTGGGATTGTTATAGAACAAAATGGAATGTTTGGTGAAATCACATTAAATCGAGAGGACATAAATACATCAGTGGATTAAAAATCCGATATACAATAGCTCAGTGTCCAAGATCTTTTGGACACTTTAATAGAGATCTGAGCTATTGTATATTGGATTCTTAATCCACTCAACATCTGAGGGTATGTTATATTTATATCCTCTAGAGTTAATGTGATTTCACAGAGCATTCTGTTTTGTTCTATAGTCATCCCAGCACAGTTTGGGATATTATATATTTCCATGTTACCTTGTTTATTGGTGACTGCTTTTATTACATAGCACACCTCTTTAACATGTTTGCCTTGATAAAAGTTCTACAGTGAAATTGCGTAAAGTAAGAATTGTTGGAATTTCAAAGTACATTTCAAATATAAGGTTAGCATAGCTAACTTGAAAGATTTTCCGAACTTGGCTAATTTGAACTTTAATTTAAAATTTACAATAAATTTACTTTGAATTCCTGACAATTTAATGTCCATCAGGGTTAGTGAATAACCCCGACAGACATACAATTTTGGTCACTTGGTCTGAAATATTGGTCTAGAAGCAAATATTGGCACAGAAGCAGAACAACACATAGGTGAATGAAAATGGTCAAATACCTGTATGTAGATGTTCATAAAGAAGTCGATGGGAGTTTTTGGGAATTTAGCTTATTAAAAATGCTTCTAGAATATGAAACAATGTCTGCATGTGGACATAATACACCTGGAAAAGTAAGTACAGTTACACTCAGCATCTGCATGTTAAAGGGCATTGTAGGTTATTGCAGCCTGCAAAGAAATCCTCTATTATTCTCTAATATTTCCCACTTTACAGACTGCTACACTCCAAAAATTAATATGCACCTACAAAAACAAAGTATGGAAGGAGTGGTGTAGTTTACAAACCCTTGCAACAAATGTAGAACAACAAAATAGCCCTAGAAAATAAAGTAGGTTCTCTGCAAGATGAAAAACATCACTAAATAAAAGGTAACTGTGGCTTTTTGGTCTAAATTGAATTTTGCATTGCTCGGTAGTGCAAAACTAAAATTAGTATTTATATACAGGCTATTCAGAGGGAAGGGATTAAAAATAGTAATGCAATCTCTATATTGAAAAATTATGTTCAGCTGGTGAGTACGGCTAAATTTACTATAGCTGAGTTAGACAAAAAACACATTTTTTTTGTAAATGCTGTTTTAAACTGTTGTATTTAAGAAAAATATCACTTTAATTGATCAAAATACATTACAATTGTGTAACTATGAAATGTATAATGTACTAAAATGCTATTCTTACAGAATTGTATTCTAACTAGCTTAAAGCATAATTGTCATCTGAAATCTCAATTACATAAATCAGCAATTAATCTCAGGCAGAGTCTGAGCAAGTATGCCTGGGTATGTTTCAGATTAGTGGGAGTTGCATGACAGCTGCTGACAATTATATCAGTTGCAATAGCTGCTCTCTGGTACTGTAAATTTATTTTTTAGTCTTCCAAAATGCATATTTGTTAAATTAAGGAATAGATAAACATAAAAACTCCTGGCAAGTTGCATTCCTCATTAACCACTTTAATATCCTAACACTAACCATTAACACCTAGGTTAAATTAATACTGCAACTAACTCTAACCTATACGTATCATGCAATATAACATATATATGTATTGCACTTTATTTTGTCACACTTAAAAAGTCACTATAGTCACCAAAACAACTTTAGCTTAACCCCTTAAGGATGGAGGGGGTGCTTGGGGACCCAGCTCTAAATGCCGTCAGGCGGCATAGTATGTCCCCGCTGTCTAGGGGACTTACCTGCTCGCTGGCAATCCTCCGATGGTGATCGTGATCGGGGGACTTGCCTGGCATCCCAGGCAGTCACCCTGCATCTGGTCCGGTCCTCCTGGGCCACGTGATCGTGAGGTGCTTGTGAGGACCTCACAATCACATGGATGAAATAGCCGTCCATAGCAGTGCCAGCAGGGGGAGTGCCTGGAATGACAGGTAGTCCCCCTGCTGCCTGAAAAAAGTTAAATAAAAGCAAAACAGTGTAAAATAAAATACTTAGACCATATTATGTATATGATCTAAGTATATATATGTATACACATACAAAACAAAAATAGAAATAGTAATGCACTCCTCCTTCCTTGATGTACTTGCCCGGTGCTTATCAGCAAACAGATACAGCCAAAAGTACAAGATAGCACTCCAGGGACTTCCAAGTTGAATGAATAAAACTTAGCTTTTAATAGCTCAAAATAAAAATCAACGTTTCAGTCTGTATCACAGACTTTCATCAGGATCTTGATGAAAGTCTGTGATACAGATTGAAACGTTGATTTTTATTTTGAGCTAATAAAAGCTAAGTTTTATTCATTCAACTTGGAAGTCCCTGGAGTGCTATCTTGTACTTTTGGCTGTATGTATACACATACATACACTGTCTAAGTGTATTTTAATATTAATATATATAATTATATATATATATATGTATATATATATATATATATATATATATATATATAAACATATAAAATAAATAAATATGATAAAATGGAAAAATAAAAAATAAATAATATTTAAAAATGTATATATGTGTAATTTTGTTTTAACTGTATTTTGATATCAATATACACTAAAATATTATATATATATATCTATATATATACATAAATATGTATGTCTATATCACTATACATATACCTGTATATAAATAAAAATAATTTTTAAAAATATACATATATTTAAATCAAACAGAGAAATAAGGGTACACCTTAACAGGCTTCTTCAAGTAGATAGTAATAGCCCCTTTTATTACTATCTACTTGAAGAAGCCTGTTAAGGCGAAACGCGTTTAGATATTGTTCTTAATTTTAATAATAAAGACATTTTATTGGCATAAAAAACTTTATTGCCATTTTCTTTCTTTTTACCTGATTTTACATATATTGCATATTTTACAAGAAGTGCAAAGAATCCATAGGTGGGGATCATACCACCCAAGCGCTTACACCGAGCAGTTTGAGCCTGCTCTATATTACGTGAGTAGTATACTTTATATTCCCTTATCTTGAATTATATACAGTGAGCACTATATATTTAATTTTCTTCTTCTGGGTAGCACATCATCAACTTGGATGTTGAATTTACGCCAAATATTCAGCTATCAAACCCTACTCCACATAGCTTGAAGTGGGGATCATTCTACTTTACGTGCGCAATATCAGAGCTGATTTTGGCTCTGAAAAGTGTGAGTAAGATTAATTTTATTTTTACTATATAATTAATTTACCGATTTACTGTGCCATTGGAGTTTTGTTTTATTTTTTTCTTCATATGCCGAACTCCTAACATCTGATTGTGAAGACTTGATCCCATCAAACATCCTAAGAATATTTCTTTATACATGGGACCTACCATTATGGACTGTGATAAATTTCCTTGGGACTATTGCCTACTATTCATTTTATCTTATATTCTTAATATTTGATTATTTTATCTTATATTTATATTTTATTATAATTTTAGTATATACTGTCTTTTATATATTTTAGGCGCATCCTTATTTCTTTGTTTGTTTTATGTTGTTTGTTACCATTAGGGGATTATTGGGCACTCCCCTTTGAGGAGTGCAGCCTTTTTTACTTTTATATTCTTTTGTGGCAATTTAGCGCTGATTTCCTTCTTTTTTTCTAGTTCTTCTTACATATATATAAATAACAGAAAATCCTTGCACTCAGGCTATGATGTCCTATACTTGCCGGATGCTGAGCCTGGGACTTTGGTTATCCAAAAAACGAAAGGAATGGCAGCACTCACGGTCTTCAATAAAATGTCTTCTTTATTTGCAAGATTAAAAAGTGAGATCAAGTAGGATCAACGTTTCAGTCCTTTTCAGGACTTTCATTGGGATCAAGTCCTGAAAAGGACTGGAACGTTGATCCTATTTGATGTCACTTTTTAATCTTGCAAATAAAAAAGACATTTTATTGAAGATTGTGAGTGCTGCCATTCCTTTCGTTTTTTTTTTTTTATATATATATATATATATATATATATATACATATATATATATATATATTTATTTATTTATTTACTTTTTTTAAACTCTACGTATGTATTTATGTAATATTTTTACATAATTAAGTCATATTATTAATTACAATTTACGGGACCTGCCTGATAACCCAGACAGAAAGTCCAGAGAATTTAATTTGCTAGCACTATATTTAACCCTGTAACTTTCCAAGACACCATAAAACCTGTACATGGGGAGTACTGTTTTACTCAGGAGACTTCGCTAAACACAAATATTAGTGTTTCAAAACAGTAAAATGTATTACAACGATGATATCATCAGTAAAAATGCAGTTTTCTGCATTTTCCACACACAAACTGCACTTACACTGACAATATAATTGTTGTGATACATTTTAAGGTTTTGAAACACTAATATTTGTAACAAGTGATAAAACATGCCAATTTTTTATTATTCAATAATTTTCCACTTGGATAAGAAAAAAGCAATACGAAGGGGGTGCAAGAAATTCCAGGTACTCACCCAGATATTGATATATAGATGGTGGAACTGCACTCAACCCTTCGCTTTGGAATCTCAGGGTGCTGCTGGATCAGTCCCAGTACCAAAGAGACCATGTATGAAGTATAATTGTAGAAAATAATCCATGTTTCATCACTTGTTAATTATTTTATGCACCTATATATTGTTTGTAAAGATATGTGTTCAGTAGCTTGACAAAGGCCCTAAGGGGTCGAAAACTTGTGTGGTTCTTGGGTCCAATAAAAATTGCCTATCGTTTGGAACAATTTGGAGTGCCTAGATTATTTTCTACAATTACTCCCATGATGGCATACCATTTACAAGAGTAGACAACCCAAGGTATTGCAAATAGGGTATGTCCAGTTTTTTTTAGTAGCCTCTTAAACACTGGCCAAAATTGGTGTTCAAATTAGTTTTTTTGCGTTTTTCACACACAAACACATATTAATGCTAAATTTGGCCAGTGTTTGTGAATAAGTGGCTTCTAAAAAAGACTGGATATACCTCATTTGCAATACCTTTGGTTGTTTACTATTGCACATGGTATGCCATAATGGGGGTAATTCTCATTCCTGGGCTACCATACAGTCTCAAAGGCAATGCTATATTTGGCCCGGTAACTTCCCAAAACACCATAAAACCTGTACATAGGTGGTACTGTTTTGTGAAACATCGCTGAATACAAATATGTGTATTTTATTAGAGTAAAAGCAAACAGTATTATGACATTTACAGTTAAAATGTCATTACAGGCAGCCAACCCTGCTTGCAATGCAGGAGGCAGCTACCCCCGGCCATGTGATTGTGGGGTCCTCGCAAGGACCTCACTCTCACATGGCCGGGGGGGCTTCCAGGGGGTCGGACGTGCCGCGGGGGGCTCCCTGGGATTGCCAGCGTGGGATCGCCGGAGACCGGGTAAGTAAAGAAAGACCGGAGGGCGTACTATTACGCCCGGCGGCGTTAGAGCCGCCTAAAATAGGGCATAATAGTACGCCCTCCGGTCTTAAGGGGTTAATTAAGCAGTTTTGATGTAAAGAGCATGCTCTTGCAGTCTCACTGTTCAATTCCCTGCCATGTAGGAGTTAAATCACTTTTGTTTCTGTTCATTTAGCCCCAGCCACACCTCTCCTGGCTGTAACACAACCTGCAAGAAAAAAATTATTAACTTTCAATCAGATGTAACTTACTTTAAATGACCACTATTGGAACCCAGACCACTTCAGCTCAATGACGTGGTCTGGGTGCCAGGTCCATCTAGTGTTAACCCTGCAGCTGTAAACATAGCAGTTTCAGAGAAGCGCTTTTGCGCTTCTCACTGTGAAAATCACAGTGAGAAGATGCTGGACGTCCATAGGAAAGCATTAAAAGCATAGGAAAGAGTTCCCCAACACTGAGGGAGCCTGGCGCTGGAGAAAGGTAAGTGTTTAACCCCTTCAGCCCAGCGGGAGGGGAACCATGAGGGTGGGGGTTTGTTTTCCTGGCACTATAGTGGTCCTTTAAATCTCCTGCTCTGTAAACTGAACTTTATTTACATACAAGAGGCTCTTGTAAGGACTAAAAGGCTATTAACAGAGCAGAAGATATTAAATTATAAATTGATCCAAATTTTCAATACAGGAAGTGTAAACATTAAACGACTATACAGGAAGTGTTTAGGAAGGCTGTGTAAGTCACATGCAGGGAGATGTGACTATGGCTGTATAAACAAAGTGATTTAACTCCTTAATGGCAGTGAATTGAACAATGAGACTGCAGGGGCATGATCTTTATACCAAAACTGCTTCGTTATGCTAAAGTTGTTTTGGTGACTATAGTGTCCCTTTAACTGAATCGTTATCATTACATCATCTTACAATGTTAATATATTGTTTATCTCATAAAGAAGAACATTTAAGCTGATCCTTCCGGTAATGAAATATGCAATCCTAAAGTTTGAAATTGGTTCCATATAAATTTACCAAGCAAGCTTTTTTAATCGTGAACATATTTTCAGTTATTGTTTTAACAAAGCAATACCATTTATGTGGGGAATAGCAATGTTTTTATTCTTTTATTAAAGGTTGACCTTTTCACAACATTTGTTTTTCTTCTATTTTGAAAAAGTATAGCCAAAGTAATTAATTTAAACATAGAAAAAAAAATGAAACTACAAAAAATTGGATTGCCATTTTCAATTTCAAGGGAATTTTGTTTGAACCATTTGAAGTAAAATACAATATTTTAAAATGTATGTAGCGCAACATAAAACTAAACTTGACAAACATATTGTCATCTCACCTCTCCAGCTACTTATATTGAGTTTTTAAACACTTATTTTTGGTTTCTGAATAGTAATGCATTTATACAAAATGTATCATTAAAAAATAGATCATTCAGTAAAGGATCACGCTATAGCAAGAGTCTGTAACGGATCGCCTGGCACCCCGACTGGGTACCTCCGTTAAAGGATGCTCCTAGCGCTTCCTGAGGACTCCAAACACTGCAGCAGACACCACAACCACCGAACCGGAGAAGCATTTGAATCCTCTCAAGCATATGAATGCTGTAGACAGTTGAATAGGAACCATATGAATAGGTTTACTCTCCTAGAAGTCAAACTGGAACAGCATACAATAAATCCTTCCCCCAATAATGAGACGATACTTCACTTTGAGGGTTAAAACAGGAACTCCCTGTACTGTCACATACAGTCTCTTTTATTCCCAATCCCCAAATATAGTACAGCCCACAGGGCGTTACAAAACAACCAATCACATCACAGTTACATCCCACATATTCCCTCCCCTTATCCTGAGAGGAAACTCAATTATACATACAGTTAAAACATACTTTCTACCCAACTTTCATAACTCCAAAACCATACATCACATTCACATAAAATTACATATTCACAATCAATCCATTCAGGTGAACAACATATTCAAAAATGGCACAAATCAGACAAGGGGTTCAAAAGTTAGTAAAAAGTCCTTTGTGACTAAATGAAGCATGGCTTTCTGGCCCAAACCAGTTTCAGAGTCTTCTATCCTGGAGATAAGTAATTCAATTATCTCCCAGGACAGACACAAGACTCCATTAAGCACATGGTTGCAAAAAGACACAAAACACTTTAAAATACATAAAGTCACATTTTACACATAACACACAGACATTTCAAATATCCCCAGATAGCTCAGGTCTGAGCACACATTATTAAGTGAATGGCGCTCGGACCACACAAATACAGTTTAATCGCCATGGAGCCAAAGTCTTTACTGTCAGTTTCATACGAATGGGCTCCATGGGATTCCTATCTGGGGTATAACACATTCACATAAAGTCTGGTCCATAGTCCAAAGGCAAGAGGCGGGCAAGCAGCCCCCTCCAAGGACACGTGGCGAGGCCGGTTTCGCCACAGAGTCAGGGCCGGATTAATATAGGGGCTGCTGGAGATGAAGCTTCAGTCCGAAGCCTATCGTTTTTTACGACTGTTCATGTTTCCTTGCTTTGTGTAGAGGGAATTAAGTATGAAAACTTGAGAGATGTAGAGGAACAAAACGTATGTGGACCTGCTGAACATGAATTAGGTAAGGTGAAGCTTACATTGCATGCTGTGCAAATGTTCTTGCTGATTCTGTCTCTCTAACACTGGGGAATGTCCCCTTTCTTCTACACTCCATATATCCAGATTTTCTCTGTCCCAGACTGCATACCAGGAACTTCTGCCTTCTAATAAGAAGGAAAGGAGAGACGTGGACAAGTGGGTGCTAGGGGACAATCCCCAGAAAGTGCAGATCAAGGGCATCATTAGAAGCATTCCTACTCTAGATGTTGTGCACTATATCTACTCTGAAGCTTTGCCAGCATGATGGCTGCAAGAGCATTATGGTAGATGTAGTCCACAAAATATGGAGCACCAAAGGTTACCTACCACTGATCTAGAATAAAACGATAAAACACTAGTATCCTGCCACCTGAAAAACATGATATCCATGGCTCTAGTCCCTAAAGCCACCCACTAACAATGCCAATGTCCAGGGTTATGAATAAATATGTTTATTTATTATGCTGACGTGTGGTTTAATTTATTGTCCCCCTTCCCTGTAAAATAACTGACCTCTAATCCAGTAGTGAGAGGGTCTCATTGCCACCGCTCTACTCCTGCCTTCAGGTGATCATCACCACTGATGATTTTCACGCCAAATCAATGCTTTTCATAAAGAATCACTAGGTATAAGAGATGTCTATGTGACAACTGTTGAGTTGGTCTAGCAATACTTCCCAAAGAGAAGCATTAAATCCTACTTGAGCCCAACTTCAAGGGCAATTTAACAATATAAACATTATAAATAATTTTATATTTAATAATAATCAGATCTTGAAGCAATAAAACTAACATTCCTTGACTAAAAGAGAGAACAGGTAGAAAATCTCAGAGAACGTAGGTCCGTAATGAACATCTTTACATCCAAGAAACATGCTATATTGCTGTTGCTGTAAAAAACTTAGTAAATCCTAAGAAAATAAAAACATATTAGAAGATCCATTGAATATAACTGAGTGTTTATTCTCAGCTGAAGAATTGCATCTGAAAGAATGTAGGATTGCAGCATAATTAACTATTTTCAGGTATCATTGAAGTATCAAGATACTTAAATTGAATTCTCATTTCTGATCAGGGACCGTTGATATAAGCTGTGAGAAACGATCAGTCCTATCTATCTGAGTCATATATTTTAAAGAAAATAATGAGCCTACAATTTGTCCTCTCGGTTTTATCTTTCCCAATCTATCGACAATAAAAAAATAAAAAAAATACCTGCATTATTTATGACAGATTATCTAATTCATGAAACAGAAAATAAAACCACATTAAATAAAATCTATATGTGTGCCAACTATTACTTTTATTTATGATACGGCAAATGTAGCTTTCCAGATGTTTAAGTCAACCCGGAAAATCTGACAAAAAATGTGTTCTGGATCATAAATAAAAGGCAGTTGTTGTTTCATCTACATTTTGCATTTACAGCTCAGTGGCTGTGTTTAGTACGTAAATGGAAGCTGACAACAGGTACAGAATATGAAATGGGAAATTATACTGCAGTTGTTTTGCAGTAATAAAAACATTCCAAAAGTTAAGAAGTGATTTAAAACTTCCTAGGAGAATGCAGTTAAGATTTCTTTTTTTTTGGTGACAGTAGGAAGATTTTAATAAAACTCTTCAGAAGTGGAAATTGAGGCAATGGGGACATATCCCCCCGTCACCCCCCAAGCCACTAGCATATATGAGTTAGAGGCTGCAGCCATAAGCACCGTTCTTCTATTAACTAAAGGCAATGGTAGGTGTGTGGGTTTGTGCTTCTGGCCCGCAATCTCACTGTTCGCCCAGATTGTACTACTAGGATATTTCTTGGGAAATGTCTGTATCTGGGGCTAGCTGGGCTGCCAGACTCTGCAAGATATGTATGGCCTGGGAGTGTTTGCGAATGGCTATTTTGTGAAATAAGATTGTTCTCATATGCATTTTGTCATCACGTAAGCATGCACAAATTTGTATGAAAGGGAC